CTTCGAATCGTTGAAACCACTTGAAGACCATGGTAGTGCCTGGAGCATCATCCCCGATGTTCTTCTTCATCTCTTCGAACGCCTGTTGCGGTTTCAAACCGCTCCGAAAATGGTAGAGGAGGATCGCTCGTTTTTGTTCCGCCGAAAATTTCACAGTCTCGCGAACATTCACAGTGCCGTCTCGCTTCTGACGGGTCTCCATCTTTCTGTACGGTATTAAAAATTCTAAAAAATTGTTGAAAGAGTTCAAGAGATATCAATTGAATGGGCCACAATCACTCATCACTCAATGGCGCCGGAAAATGTGAAAATCCGCGAACTTTCCGACCTCCCCACGTTTAGTCAGGATTTTCGACTGACTCCAAAAAAATTGATGTGTCGAATCCAAAAGGTTTTGTACAAATGTAATATACTCCTGCAACTGCAAGCAATTGTCTATATTGAGAACTGAGCTATCGTATAACTAATTGTTAATTTGCTTTAAATAGCGATTTGTTAGTCACTTGCATTTTACATCTAGTCACTTGTTACGAATATCCCTTATGGGCTCTTCGCGTCAACGTTATGGTTTACATGAAAAAATATACCTTGACGATGCTGAGAACAAGGTATTGGGACGTAAGGAATTTCTAGTAATACATCACTCCATTTGCAACTAGACAACCTGATCTTTCCCTTTTTTCGAACTAATTACTGCCATTGGTGGGCTTCTGCGAGTACCCCACTTGATAATGGTGACGAGGCCAAGGAGATCGTATTGCGTTGCACACAGCCATATGTGAATGATGTAACCCATGCGTGAGGGAGTACCATATCCAGCTTCGGATAGCATTATATTCATTCTCTCTGTTTCCTTTCAAGATAAATTGTCAACGACTCATTCCCATAAATAATAATTTGGACCTTATTCCTCTAGCATAACCCATGAACGTGATAGCTGAAGAGTTCCTTGGCAACCATCATGATCCCAGCTAATAATGTTTTCCTCTTTTTAATTTTTGCAGGCAATTCAAGATTTACAATAACACGAGAGCTGTGAAGCTCCCTGTGGGAATTCTAGGGGACCTAACCCTGCAGTCCGTATGGATAAGCAAAACTGTTGTGACAAGGCTGGATCCGTCGGTCATCCTCCCTTCCGCGGATCGTCTTGTGAACTTTACTCTGAAGGACAGTCAACTGGAAGAGTTTCCTTTCCATATCACCCCAAGATTACGGAGTCTCAAGAATCTCTGGCTCCGGAACAATTTATTGACCTCAGTTCCTGGCCTCCACAGCGACTCCCTCGAGATATTAGACTTAGAATACAATAGGATTGCTGCAGTTGAGGAAGACAAATGGGTTACTCCAAATTTGCGGGGACTCAACATCGGTAAGAATTGGGGCATCTGCTACAATGCGGTGAACCCTGAATGCATTCCTTGCCATCTCCCATATTCTCCTTGAATACTACAAGACAACGATAATTTCAGAGTATATGAAAATATATGAAGTTACAAAGTAGGTGTGGGAAAATTTGACTGCAAGGTGTAACAAATTTAAGATAGTTATGAACGCAATGAAGTTTTCAAAACCATGGTGCCACAGTAAGAAACTGTCGTCAATGAAACGAAGCCATTTAAATGGCTTTAGAGCCCTCTTGTCAAGGCTTCTCTTTCAAATTTACCCATAAAAACATAAGCATAACTGCGCACACGTTTGGAGCCCATCGCCATTCCGCGAAATTGGAGGAGTTGCGAATTTAACAGATGGTGAGAAGATCTATGATGGTAGTAGTTGGGGTGAAAGCGGTTCGTTCAGGCTTGTTCAGGAAGTGAGTAAATGCATTCATGCCATCGCCATGAGGAATTTATGCATGAAGTCAATTGTCGTTGATAGCGGCCACAGCAAGGTTGGGTGGCAGCTTGTCAAGCTCTAGTCGGTAACGGAAGTTGCTAGAGTCGTGGAGATAGGATAGTAAAAGATAGACAAGAGGGTTACACTGTAAAAAATATAGGTCCTAGAGACAAACCTTTATACAGGGTATCCCATATATCTCTGACACTTTTATTTTTCTAACAATAATTAATCAAGAATGTTAACTCTTGGAGTTACCAGGATAGGGTTACACTGTAAAAAATATAGGTCCTAGAGACAAACCTTTATACAGGGTATCCCATATATCTCTGACACTTTTATTTTTCTAACAATAATTAATCAAGAATGTTAACTCTTGGAGTTACCAGGATCTGAAGACTTTGACTGGGAAGATGATCAATTCTACGATCTGAGACATTCATATGATCACTCCCACGTATAAATATTAAGCAAAGATTGTGAGAAAAAATTGTTATAGGGATCATAAAACCAAGATTCTTGCCGAGCCCAATCCTTAATGGTTCTAGAATTACCAAGATATTGTTATGCGTCATTTTGTCAAATAGTGTTTGAAGTGAACTTAAAACCATTCTATATGGTTTATCGATAACTGAAAACCGCTCTGAAGGCGTACACGCAGCTTAGGGTTCTACTCCGAGCCATTATTTTTCCCGGTGTAAATGGAAAACCATAAGGGATTTTTACGTTTATAGACATTGCCTTCTTCCTATCTCATTAACCTCTTTTCCTCATTTCTTGCAGGTCACAATCCGCTGTCGAAATTCCCGTCAGCAGTGATCAGGCGTCTGGGAAAGCTTCAAGAATTCTATTGTTTAGGGTGCAATCTAGGAACATCACTAGCAAAGGGGCAGCTGGAATTCCGTACCGAGGTCTTGAAAACGGTATCACTCCAGGACGACAGCCTCTCGCAAATTGAACCAGGAGCCCTTGCAGGTATGCTCACTCGCCCAGTAATGTAATTAGGGTGTTTGGAACTCCTTCACAAAGAGCGAATGTTGTTCGGAAGCTTCATAGCAATAATAATTAGCAATTACATTTTAAACTTAATATCTGAAAGTCTAAATGAGCTTTTTTTCACGAAATTTTCATTTTGCATGCCTGAGCATTTCTGCAACTGATTCTCAAACTTTAATTGGTTGAGCCGAATAGATCCTATCAATAAATACTGGAAAGAAGTGAAACATTGAGAAGGGACAGGAGCGCCTGGTAGGGTAATGGAGGACACACTCAAGCGCTGCCCCCCCCTTCCCCCGGTCATCGAACTATTCCTGCATTGAAATTCATTCTTTGGGTTGGTTGACTCTTGCAGATAGTTTTTATGAGCCTCTTCACAGTGAAAAGCAGATGACCCTGTGATGCATATCAACCCAGAGAGTTTCCTCACTGTTACTCAAAATTTCTTTGGTTTTAAGAACTGTCCGCTTCAAATGTCAGTATATCATTAATATCATAATCTTCGAGAGACTCCATGTCGAGCAGCTGCTTCTCGAGATTGAGAGGCCTAGGCCAGGTGGTTTAGACACGTCTGTCGCATGCCCCCTGAAAGGTTTCCAAGAGGCCAAAGTGACCCGCAATAGACCTGTCGGTAGACGTCGTACAAGGTTTAGCGATTACGTCGCGCGGCTTTCTCACGAAAGGTTCAGCATTCCACCAGCTGAGCTTGAGTCTGTTGCCAAGGATAGTAGGATAGTGGTCATTTGTGGACGCTCCTGGGCATGTTCGAGCCAAGACCCCACTATGTTGGGATAAGCGGTATCGAAAATGTACGTAATGCATGTATAAATGTAAGTTTTATATCGCAAAATCATTCAAGTTGTCTATGAGTGAATGAATATATAGTAAATGAAAGTTCTAGCAATGGAAAAAGGGGCCTCATCAGACTCTCCCTAGAGAGTGTTACGAAAACAAAATATTGGAAGTTTGATCGCCTGCCATGCAGAGCATTTCCTTCATTCATTCCAGGTGTGAGGGCTGACACGAAGGTTTACCTCTCCCGGAACAATATCACAATATTGAACGAGAATGCCTTCCTACCCCTCCTGAAGAACATCTCCCGCGGAGATGGATTGCTCTATCTAGAAGGCCGGTTTCGTTGCCTCTCACCAGCCTGAGCAGCTCCCCGAGTCCATCCCATCCATTCTTTTATCATCAGATTTCTGACTGGCATTTTTCTATTTCAGGGAATCCCATCCGATGCGACTGTAATTTAGATTGGCTAGCAGCCGCTCCTGAACTTCTGAGAAGAATAAAGGGATCATGTGCAAATGGGACTGCTCTGAAAGATCTGAATTTATCAGAATTGTGGAGAAAATGTCGTCGATGTCCTCATACCTGCGTCAGGGCCCAACATGTGTCGCTCTGCCTACGAGGAACAGAAATTTTCTCAAATATGAACAACTGTCTCTTCGAGGAATTGTGTTGTGAGTTCAAAAACCCAGCAACCACTTTTAATGCCCATGCAACACCTATTTATCCATCACGTCTTGCCGGATTTCCTTGCACTGGTGCCAAATTTATCGTAACACGCAATCCAAGTGGTCGGCCAAAGAAATGTAAGGCATTTTGATTTTGCTAAAAAAAAACTCCATATTTTTTGGAATTGATTAACTTGTAAATTCAATTAATATCATCTTGTATTTTCTTGAGCTGTTCAGCACCTTTGGCCACTCTATCTTGAGTTAAGGCAAATTTTGTCAATTCGGTCCTAATTTCGAGTGAACAAGCATGCGACTGCTGTTGCGCTGTACGAATCCACGTTCGTTTTCCATTTTATAAAAATATGATTGCCTGAGCAGGTAATTGTGAAAACTTTACAAGACGTGCAAAGTTTTTCTTTCAAATGTGCTTTTTTTTAACCGCCTGTAAACGTCACGTAAGTGCTTCAATTTCCGGGCATTCACATGGAAATGCGGTTTTGTGTCTTGCAACAGCAGCCGCCTGCTTGTTTGCTCATAATTGTTGACTCTTTTGACAAAACCTGCAATAACTGAAGAGCTGGTGGAAAAAGGTACACAACAGCTCTTCAAGGACATATTCGACAGTGTTCATTTACATTTTTCAGGTCAATCTATTCCAAAATGTTGATTCTGTGCCATATGTGGATTGAAAGTGCCTTATTTTTTTTGCTTACACTGTATGTACAGGGTAATCAAAAGGCGAGCAACCCATGAGAGCATGCATTTATTTATTTAAAAACCAACTTAGTAGGTATAGGAAACTTATGCCACTGTTGTTGCGTTTCGCAATAAAATTTAATTTATGAATGGCCAGCATTGCCACTCACTTCATGCAATAGCGCAAATATATGTGAACTATCTCTTGTCCCATGAGTTACACAATTTTTTCACCCTGTACAGCACCATCATACAACTTCAACGTTCACTATCCCGGCTAGATTACTATGCTGGTTAAGCATACCCAATATTGTCTACAACGGTTTCTCGTCTAGCGGACGGGGTCTTCATATGCCTATTGACTAAAATGTATTCAAGGATGCCTGGGGGCCGAAATTTTTTTTCTTTTGCGATTGGCTGAGGATACGTTTTTTACAATGTTCCTTCCCTTCAAACAAGCACTTCGGAACCCTGGGTATATAGAAGAGTACAGTGTCGTATGATTCCTACCAATTGGGATTGTTTTGTCGTATATTACTCTTTATATCCTTTCTGTATTTCAGTGCCAGAGACACGTCTTAAGTTATACTTGTATTCACAATATCTGAAGAGTAGTTAATAGAAATGAAACAAATTCGTCTTTGGACTGCATTTCATGGTGAAAGACAGTCATCAGTCAGAAAAAAGAAAATGAAGTCTTTTTTAACCTAATTTAAATGTAACTTTTATGTCATAGCTAAGAAGCATAGTTAAATCAGATAGAAAGTAAATAACAGTCTTGGGAATTTCATTTCAAGTTAATTTGAGAGAATAAAAGCCATAAACATTTTAGCACTCGTCATCTATGTATATTTAGGTAGACAGCCTCTTCAAAGCTTTATTTCCAGTTACTTTTTTAACTCTCTTTCAAAAAATTTGACTCTCACCGAGGCGAATCCTGAAAACGTAGATCCCCAGTTACTGATCAGGAAGACTAATGGCGGGGTCGGAAAAGGAAATGTTTGTCAATAAGAGCCCCATATGTTTCCGTTCATCCTTGAACTTATCCCTGTTCAATTTCGTACCATTTACGACCCTTCTTTTTCTTGCGTTCATTCATTCATTATTCCCGTGATATACCTCCTGAAAGTTCATTGTGTTTTTTTATGGAGTTCAATGATATCCCTCCATAGTCTCATTCAATCCAAATGTTCGATTCCGAAGCTTCAATTGAGAAGGTTTCCTTGCAATGTCACTCCGGCATAATTCGCGAGTTTCAACTTCCCTGCCTCTACTACTTGTTAGACTGTGTTTTGTTTCTATTAATTTTTTATTCATGAGCAAAGGTCATCATCACTATCTTCATCATGACAGGTGAAATAGATCCGTCAGGTGCAGTCTCCGCAGGAGTAGCTGTAATCGCAGCGATTTCGCTTGCAGTTATTCTAGTCGTGATCATCGTCTTGGGCTTCATTTTATACTATCGATTCAGGAAAGAGCGAGTGAGCTATGCCAGATTGGGATTCCGTCACAATTCCTCAAGGATACTATGCTGTCCAGGTGATCATGCGTTCATGAAAATTGCAGATCCGGAGGATTGCATTGACAGAGCAAGAGGCAGAGTGGTTTCGAAGAGGAAATCCCAAGAGCATCAATCCCCTATTGTGCCTCAATGAACAAGCAGATCTTCTGCCATATGATGAACGTTGGGAATTCCCGGCTGAGAGACTAAGACTAGGTATGAACTCAATTCCGAGTAGAACCGCATTGACAAATGATGATTTCCATTGCGTATTCCATCATGACAGGGGAGATGCTTGGTCAGGGTGCATTTGGGATCACCATCAAGGCCTTCGCTCGGGGCATCAGGCCCTTAGAGCCCGAAACAACAGTTGCTGTGAAGAAAAGCAAGCCTTACTCTGACCTCGCTCATTACAAGGCGCTTATTATGGAACTGAAGATATTAAGTCACCTTGGAAAACACTTAAATGTGGTAAATTTTCTCGGAGCCTGCTCCAAAAATATGGCTTATGGTAAGTTTCTTCATCATTGATCACTAGGCGATCAAAAAATTGACTTTTCAGTTGCAAGATCTCTCTAAAAAATGTATAGAAGCATCCTCCTCAAGGTTAATTAATTTGGAGTCAGATGACTGAGATGATGTTCAAAAGCAAACAAAATATATTACTCATCAGCCAATAGAAGGAGAGTTTTCCAGCGTTCACAGAGAAAGAAATGAAGATCTTGACGGTCTTGACCGTTCTTCCACAAAATTAGAGCATTTTGGACATCCAGTTCGGGGCATCTAATTCCATGATGCGTAAAGTGGCAGAACTTGTGAAGCAGAAAGGTATCATGTTCATGCGAAATCCTAAGAAAGAAAAAGTCATTCCGGCGAAAACAGTTTGGCAGTCGATCTATTTTCAATCGAATTCATTGGCAATAGTAGGGGTCAGATCAATTTTTCCCACATTTCGAAATATAAAGTTTCAAATACTTATACGGCCCCATGTTTCCTCGTTTCGATGCGAACATATGAATCATTTCTTGTTAGAATCTAGATCCCACTGGTGATTACTTTCTTCAGCCGTTCTAGGAAATCCAATCTTCTTCGTACTCTGAGGAAAGTCAAACAATATGGTAGCTACTGTGGGTGGACCTGACGGATTTAATCAAGGTTCGGTACTTGAGGAGTGATGGGTCTATGGATAATTTCCAACTTGGCCTGATGGAACTCATCCACTCACATATCGGGAAACCATATGCGAAGTGTACCATAATGCAAAAAATCAGTCAGGTAGCACTGTGGCCCAGACTGTCCCGTCAACCCCAGTGACTCATATTTTGCTACTGGCTCAATTCGGGTCACTCTTGGTGAACTTCGAAAGACGTAGGTGGTCCCACAGTTATTAGATTCACTTACTATCGTTCAGTGTTAGGTTGCGTCTCACCTCATCAGCTTTTATTCCCTTCGATAACCTTGGCTCATTTCTAGAGGACTTCTTGATTAAGAAAAATTTGGGATTAAACTTCCACTAACAGATCGTGAAAATGGACTTGTCTAAACTAAGTAAGTCTCTGTATACAAAGTACGATGGTACTTCCTTCACAAGGAAAGAATATAATATTTTCCCTCTTCTTCTGCCCATAAAGCATATATAGAGCGGAAGCAACTATTTTGTTAATTTAAAAATCTATTTTGACTTTTCTCGTAGGGGATCTGATGATCATCCTGGAGTACTGTCGACATGGGAGTCTTGAGCGGTTTCTTAGAAAATATCGACCATACTTTAAGAATGGGATTGACCTTGGCCCTGACATTAAATCCAGGAATGGAAAGCAGCTTCATCACACCGATGCTCACCCTCTTCCAAATATTGCATTTGGTAATTTATAGCGCTACATTTCGAGGATAAACTTTTCATGGAAAATAAGTAGGCGCTCCCCGAAACATTGCCAGTTCACTGCAAACTTCCAACAAGGTAGGGAAGAGAATCTGAGTTATGAGATGGTTCCTATGGTTCCCCAAGGCACAATAAGAATTACCAGACAACGTCAGATGGAGACACATGTCTTTCACGATAGAATTTCGCTATTCTCTAAATTCGCATCGCTTACCACTCTTAGCTTCGATTCTCACCTTCTTTCATGCAGTTTCAGATTAATTTCTAATTTAGACTTTTGCTTTAATTCATTCCAGCTCCAATTAGCTTCTGCTTTTACTGCTTCAGACTGAAATTTCAGGGCATGCTGATGTGTGCACTTTAATGAGGAGAGATTTTCTATTTCATTATATTTTGTGGGGGAAACTTTCGTTGCACGAGATAAATCATAATCCGGGATTTCTCTGCTTAAAACTGTCAGAAATGCAACGTCTGCAAATTATAATTCAGCAGTTAATAATATTAATTTTCTTTCAGGAGGAAAACGTCTGCAAATAATGGAAATGTCAATTAGGAAGAAAGAAGAGTTCTATGAAGACGAATACCATTCCATGACCTTCACAAGGGACGATCTTGTGTCCTGGGCGTACCAAATATCTCAAGGCATGGAGTACTTGTGTTCCCAAAAGGTGTGGTACTTCTAAAGCATAATTACTAATCGCAATTCTGCAAACAACAATATGTGAAAGCTCAAACCAATAGTCGGTTTTCTTTCACTGAATATACTGTACTGTATTATTGCAACATAAAAAACTTGGGCAGTGTGGTACCCATAACGGGAAATGAGAAAATCAGCCAAAATCTTGAACTCCATTCAAGGCAGCCCTGTGCATAAGCAAAATCAGTGATGGGCAGAGGACACATGGTCCTTGATTGAATTCGTGTCCTAGCAAAAAGGGGAATGGGACCGGGTCAGAAGGAATGTGTGAGACAGGAACCAACGTGGGGCAAACTGCTGTGGGGCTTGGAATCAGTTCAGAAGAATACCTTCTCAATTTCTTGTCACAACGGCTAAGGCTTTTCTAATTTACAGGATGGCCCAAAAAATAACCTCACCTATTTTGATCGGCCATAACATTTGAACAAATGAACCTTTTTTTCGTGTTCGAAACGGGAATTGAAAGGTCTATTAATCCTCTTTCCATCGCCATATCATTTATCAAATGTTCCTCAACGGAACCGGGGTAATTGCAATTTAAATACAAGCCCCCCAAAAAGAGGATGAACAAGGCTGGCTTCTTGCTAAAACCTTCTCTGTATGCAGCATCCTTGGGCATCCTGCGGTGATTTTCCGTTGCGTGCTTGCAACTGCCGTGTCTTTCAAATTTCATCCGATAAAAGTGCATTTACAAAGTTCATTCCATTCATTTTCATGGTTGCTATTCGAACGATTATTGATTCAAAACGATTCATGGACGCCTACGCCAATACCAGTCTCGTGGACTCTCTTCTTTAAAGGAAGCGGGATGGGAAACAAATAGCTGTTGGCTCGCATATTACAGATAACAATTTGACATTGGAGGCACGTGCCCTGAAGGGACTGATTCAACAGGCCCATATCAAACCCTTCCACAGAAGCTCAGGCCTACATCGATCTCGACTCATTGGTATAGAGGACCTTTTCGTCCTTTCTGAACGGAAAAATTGCTGCCTTTGCATGGGGCGCGGGGTCTTTGCCCTATGTCTTTCTAGGTCATGGGTTAGGTAGAAGGACTTGGGTTGATGCGTACCGGTATGCTTGTGGATGCAATTTGGTTTCATGTATTTTTGTAGCAGTGAAACGGCAAGGAAGATTTGCCCTCGACTTTCCGATCTGGAGTGATTATGTCATATGCAGGATGCTTAGACCAATGCCATTTCTATGCTTACACTACAACGAAACGGGAACGTAAATAGTCATAAACTGCCTTCATGAATGACGCATTTTCGGATGGTTTGTAGGCTCAGGGAGAGTTTGAAGTAGGCACTTATTTAGAGATTTTGTCCTCGAACATAGGTATGCTACAATATATATGGTTTTGTGATGTAGATGCAAAGAAGAGTGTGGCGACTTCATACACGAATTAAATTCCATATATAAACACTAAACGACGCACTGAATTTTCACATGATGATCCTGATGCTAGAAGTCATGTGACGTCCCTAAGAACATTTTCAAAAACAACATTAGTTTTCAAGATTGAGCGCCGAAAGCGCATCCATAGCTTAAAATGAAGGTATATTACTTAGACTTTTATGACAACAGTAAAACCGGAGCAAGATGCGTTTATTCCCTTGAAAGCTCATTTTCTCAAGTCCCTAATTCCTGCATGATGTAAATGAAACATTCAAGATTATTAAACTTCCCTAAATTCCTTTTTTTTATCGTCACAGAAAGCGAGCGCTTATGTATCGAGACGTAATGCATCCAATTGTGAAATTTCGCAGCAGTTTGGTCAGTATCTATGGATGAATCGTCGATCTCAGAAAAAATAACGGGAGACCTTGAAAAGAAGCCATATGAACTGTAAGACGTATTTCTTGGCATCGTAGATCGTCCATCGAGATCTGGCAGCTAGGAACATTCTCCTGACAGATGAAAGCATCGTAAAGATAGCAGACTTTGGACTTGCCAGGGATATCCATGCCAACAATCAGTACACCAAGGAGGGAAATGTGAGTTCCTTACATGTACACTTACTTATTTTCCTCATTTGGTTTAATATTGAAGTATTCGCTGCAATCAAATATTCCAGGGTCCAGTGCCATACAAATGGATGGCTTTGGAATCCCTCACACATGAGATGGTGTATACCAGCAAATCAGACGTTTGGGCATACGGAATAACTCTGTGGGAGATTTTCAGCCTTGGAAAAAGTCCATATCCAGGCATGAAATTTGGAGAACTCATCAAGCGCCTGCAAGCCGGCTATCGCATGGAGGCTCCTGATTGCGCAAATGAGTCTATGTGAGACCAGAAACATCTTTACTTCATTTCTCAATACGACATGAATATTAACTGAATTCATTTTTACTTATCTCTTTCTACGTCCTTATTGTACAGCTACCGAATCATGAGAAAGTGCTGGGATGAAGATCCAAATGATCGGCCTACATTTTCTATGCTGAGTATATGGTTCGCCAATATGATGCCAGACTCTGAAAGTCGAGTGAATATTGATCTAATGCTCGTTCTAATCACATGCGTGTATTCCAAATAAGATTTCATCCGTTTTTCCGCCATATTTTTTCCTGCAGCGGATTCTGGAGCTGAACAAGCCATACGAGCAAATAAATGCCGACCACTTCAAGACACATGACTACTTGAAAATCTTGGCAATAGGAGGATTTGAAGATGGATACCTTCAACCGCGAGGAATCATGGATTTGCCAAAGGAATCATCTGCGTCCAACCCAGACAATACCATTCACAAATACTTAGAAATCGATGAGGATTTCAAATCGAAGACCTCTAATGACCTGCCAAAGGAAGAACAAGGAGAAACCAGTCAATCAAGGATGCAAAAAATGAGCTCGTGGCCGGTGCAGAAATATCAAGAGGGAGTCAGAGCAAAAGAGAGAAATCATCAAAATGGTTTCAATGCTATAACCGCATTTGAATTTCAGTCGATTGCCTAAAAGTGAAACGGCATTTTCAAGGAGAGGGGGGAAGAGTCGTGAAGGGTTCTGACTTCCCTATCGGGATGATAACTTGGAAACGGCAGCACGAAATATCCCGAGAACCTCCATTTGTGACAGTAACAGCAATATAGGGTATTTCCTAAGAAATAATAAATTTCCTTTTAGAAGCCTCGGATTCATGACTTCTTAGACAATAAATTCGAGTAAAAGTGTTTAACCTCTCGTGGAAATTGGTGATTCGGAGATCATTCTTTTCCGTTGTTATTTCCACCAAATTTTCATAATAGACGACCAGCCAAGGAGTGAAATATCGACTGGCGGTGGCATGGAGTGTTACAAGTAGTCGTCCATGCTCGGTCGAATGCGTGGGTCTTGGGCTATAACGCCTGGTTGGATGCGCAGTCGAACGCGACCCCGTTCGTGAGATACAAGGTCAAATTTGTCAGAATGATATGTTTTTTTAACTCCATCTTGGACAGAGAAGTTATAAGCCCTTCACAATTAAATTTCCACTCAATATACCTGAGATAAGGAAGTTCATTTTAAGCGTGGTACTTGACCTATGAGTACCACCATTCGAGGTCAAATGTAAAAAATATATACTCGCCTTTTTGTCACCATATAGTACCAGAGAAGACACCCAAGAAAAGGCAAGGACAAAAAAAAGAAGACTGCTAACACGCAGCAGAAAAATTACTGCTCCTTAGTGGGCCTCCTTTCCTGAAAGGAAAGAGACCACTTATAGTCCCGTCCTGTCCGTCCATGTGTCCGTGCTTGGTTGTCCGACGATAACAGAAACATTGGTCTGATCAATGCGAAAATTGGCTAGAGGGTAGATATGAACAAGATGCAAGCTGAGTTCGTTTTGAGGTGAATTCGCACTAAAATTGGCATGTTTACGGCAAATTTTGGATTTGAAATTTGATCACGGAGGGTAAGACATGAGTACCTATGAGCCCATCAAGATGTGGACCACAATGCGCATGCGCTTACGACCCAGGTTTTGGGCACGGCGCCATGTCAGCAACCAAAGCCGTCAGTTCCCTACCAACCTTCGCGGTGGATGGATCCAACCATCCTCCCATCATCGTTTCATGGGCACCGTTTGTCTATGTTTACCAAATATAAATGAGAAATGAGGTTTTTGACGGTCGAAGACCGGAAAGAGATGGCATTTTGTACAATTAGGCGACAGAAGGAGGGTTTAAGTTAGCTGAATGGAAGCCCACTACTGGATTGGGCTTGCCCAACTCGTTCTGGTTTGCTTCTTTTTCACGAAACATGATCCGAGCATCCGCAGATATGTTCCCCAGTAAAGGGCGATAACATGTACAATAACATTTTCTAACGCCGCCATTTATATGGACAGTGGTTCATGAACTGGCAGCGCCCGTAATGCATGCACTATTGAGCACCGAAAGTCTTGTTATGACCTTTGACCTCGTACCTGCTTTACCCAGTTACCTAGGATGAAGAAACTTTTGGGATTCGATGTTCCTGTTGGGAAATTTCTGGGGTTCAAGTTTATTGCAATTGCAATAAGCGAAATGCGACCTACGTGAAAGGACATTTTCGATCAAGTCACTATTTGGCCCTGCCTCCAGTCAGAAAAGTGAAACGACGTGAATACCGACCGGCTAAAGACTAACGTTTCGTTTCCACGATGGTAACGATTCATGCTTTTCAGAGTACAGCATGATCCATCACCGGGTGTTTCCCCCTTAGAATACTGGAACTGGACCCCCTCCCCCCTCCCCCAACTCTGAATCTGACCAGATTTTTAGACACACCACTACCAAATGATATCCTGCGAACACAGCAAGCCAAGTTCCGTTTGACCCCCATATGCCCGACGATATAAACGTTGTGGACCGCTGCTGTGTGCCTGCTAGTGACAGCCGAAAGCGGATCCAGGCCGCATTTTGCTGTTACTAGCACACTAGAAATTTTATGCTAATTTTGTTTAATTTAATGCAAATTTAATTTTTATTAAAATTAATGTAATGTCAATCCTCGTATTTAAAAGTTGCCCGAATTTCTAATGCGACTCGGCTCGGGATGAATTTCCTCGTGGGAAATTTTGTATCGCGTCGATAGCGCTGACTTCCCGGGGATGTGGCCTGCCCTCGATCCGGCCCGTCCTCGATCCTGCCCGTCCTCGATCGCAGACTGCGACCGCGTTCCCCGGATGCTCCGCGGCTTCGAGGTTGAAGGAGACGGTCCTGTCGCCGGTCTCGCTGCAACTGTTGCCACGATGGCAACAGGCCTTTTTTGCGATAAATTTTGGTCTTCGAAATTTGAAAAATCTCCTGAAGAATAAAAGTGTCACGCCGTCGCTCAAGCATCATTTCTTAAGTTCAACCGTCATTTCTTAAGCCGCTTGAGCTCTGCGATTCTCACCGAGACGAGAGAAGGCGTAACGGGGCAAAATTATGAAAATTTATTAAATATTTATGACAAAATTTCATCGGTTATTTTTTAAATTAATGTTAACATTAATTACCATTAATTATTTTACTAAAGACAGATCTTGCCGTTACGTGACCGTTACCTTCTCGCAGCGAAATCCTACAAAATCCGAAATGAAATAGAATTTCCTTAATTTACCAAATTTTTAAATTAGTTTTGCGATTTTAAAGTTTCGAATTCGAAATTCGCCTTGAAACTTCGAAATTGAAATGGGAAATCGGTCGCAATTTTCCCCGTTCAGTACAACGGCGACGAGGTCCATCGTTGAAACCTTGGAAACATGGACTCCGTTGAGCAGAAAACCAGGCAAAAAAAAACCAAGCTGAACATGTCGCAAATGTAGTGCAAATTTCTTTTTCAGCGAAAAAATTTTCCCCGACACGAAAATGTCGGAATTTGATTTAGCGAATCTGACCGGAGAGAGCATGAAGGCTAGCGACGAATGAACGGGAGTGAAAACGCCAGGAGTAAATTGAGGGTGATCGCTCCTGGGACGCCTCCTCGCTGCGGAACCATACCAGGAGTAATTTCCGCGAATTACTCCTGGGATGTAAATTTCACTTCGGGAAATATTAGTCCTTCGCGACCTTTGCGACGTGAAATCGCCCAGTCGACATCCCCGCCCGATCGACATCTCCGCCCGATCCACATCTCCGCCCGGTCGACATCCCCGCCCGGTCGACATCCCCGCCCGGTCGACATCCCCGCCCGGTCGACATCCCCGCCCGGTCGACATCCCCGCCCGGTCGACATCCCCGCCCGTCGACATCCCCGCCGCCTTGCGTTTCCCCTTCTAAATCACTCATTAGTGAGGAATCATTTAATTTCCGAGGAGCACTTCTGATTTTACTCGTGAGACATTAATCGTTAACATCCGACGACCGATTACACGTCCAGTTATACGTCCAGTGTCGCGTCTAATTAATCGAATCACCTTGAATCCGAAACGTCCAATTAATTAAGTAGTTTATTAGTGGGAACGTCGAAGCAATAATTACGGAATTGATTAATCCATTGTTACCGGATCGTAAATTTTGAGAGGATTTACGAGAGTCGGGGCTGTCGCCCTTGGTCACGTCCCATGTCACGTCCCACGTCACGTCCCTTGTCACGTCCCATGTCATGTCCTTGTCACGTCCTTGTCATGTCCTCGTCATGTCGTCCTCCTTCCTGGATTGATCGCGACCGGCCAGAAATTCCGCCGGACGGCCCACTTTCCCCTCGCAGGCAAGGAAGTTGGGTTCGTGACAAAAATCAATCAATTAATGCTGGAATTGATTTCGTTTCTTAAATGATCAATTATCAATTCAATGTTTCTTAAATTATCAATTATCATTTCTATGTTTCTTAAATTATCGATTGATCATCGGATTCCTTCGTGAAAACGAGGAAATGCACTCTAGCGGTTCAAGTTTTAGAAAAATTATCTGGATAATTCTTAGGGAAATGAATAATATGATGTGGGACAATTCAAGGATAATTTAAAGATAATTTCAGGATAACCATAAAAAAAATTTTCCGGGAGAGTTTCTGATCACCCAACTCGTTCCGCGAGCCGGAGAGATGCCCCTGGCGAAGCAAGTCGTGGAACAACAGGAACGAGGTATCAACGCTGATGGAGCGCAGGTGGAGCATCGGTGGAGCGCAGGTGGAGCGCAGCAAGATGTCGAGGCCCTGCCCTCGGATCGCTTCAAGAAGCGGCAGCGTGCCATCAGGAGGGAGGCTCCAAGTAAAAAATATATTTTTTTTTCGAGTACTTGTTGATTGCAGGACGGAAGAAGGAAGGAGGCCGGTTCCTTTCCCTTTTGTGAAGGCCGCCTTCTTCCTCCCCTCCGGCTCCTTCCTCGTACCGCCTTCGACCACGAAGGCGGGCGAGAGACCAAACCGAGCCTCCCCCGCTCCGGTCGGTGGCGACGCCGAGGGCCGAGAAGGGGAAGCTCCCGAAAGAAAGCACCAGAAAGATTGAAATCCACTGCCAAAATCAATTGACTTCATTCCAAATTGAATTGACTGATTCCTGAATTGAATTGACTTCATTCCAAATTGAATTGACTGATTCCCGAATTGAATTGACTGATTCCTGAATTGAATTGGCTGAATTCCAAAACGTGGACTGGCATCAGATTAATGACTGAATGCGTGATCGTTATGGGGATGAGGCAGTATAGGGCGGATTGCCTTCGAACTGGAATGCAGTCGGCAATCCAAGTCTGGGAATCCCCATTTTTTCTCGTTGTGAATGCACGAAAAGGAAAGAATGAAGGAGGAGGAGGGAACGAAGGAGGAGGATGCTCCTTCCGCGAAGGGCCGTAGATGGTCGCATGACGGGCGGGAAAATATGGTAAGGAGTCGGTAAGTAATGGTCGGCGCACAGCCGGGAAGAAATATTAGGGAGTTCCCGACCTCGACTCCGGGTGTCGATACGGACCTTGAACCTCGACTCCGTGTCGTACAAATCCCGGACGAAATGCCGATCCGTGTCGGTCGTCCGACAAGGAGGCCCCGCCTCTCCCGCTTCCTCCAAGAAAAAAAACGACCGGAAGAAACTCGATAAGGGAAGGACAGTCCCGCTCGAACCGCACGTACGCCTTGACTCCCTGCCTCGACTCCTTGCCTTGACTCCATGCCTTGACTCCATGCCCTGGGGCGCGAGAGAGCGAAAG